GGGGCACCTGTCGCCTGGCCACTCTCCAGGCCAGGCTGTCGGGGCCAGCAGGGGCAGAGCCGAGCTGAGGAGGGTCACAGTGCCCTCTCGGAATCAGACGGGGGCCTGAGGCTCATGGAACTCTCCCTGTCCCTTCTTCCAGCTTCAGATGGTCCTGTCTGTCTGTCCATCTGTCCTGGGCATCTGGGCACAGGTTCTCTAGGAGAGGGCTAGAGCTGGCCGAGCCTGGAGGCCCGGAAGCCCACTGGCTCCTGCCCCTCCTGGAACAAGCTATGTGGCCTGGGCCCTCTCCTGTCCATCCCTGGCCCCTACCCCACTTCCCACAGGGCAGCTGGGTGCTGGGTGAAGGAGAGGAACCAGGAACAGGTCAGATCTGTGTTGAGGGGTTTTGGGAACCCTGTGGCTGTGGCAGGGGATGGGGTACCACTGGGGTGTGCGGGGTGCAGCCTGAGGAGGGACCTGGGAGAGTCGGAGTGGGACCCTGGCCTTCCTGACCAGGGCTGCTGGCCCTCAGGTGGCCTGGACTGGGAACTGGGTTTAGCTCTGGCCTCCATGTGAATGTGGCCAAGTGTGGGTGCTTCCTTAGCCCCTGAGCCTGCAGGGGTGGCACAGGACAGCTGGGCAGTCTGCGTCAAGTGTCCTGGATCAGGCTTGAGCCTGGGCCACCTATGTGTGGACTACAGTTGGGGTCAGGGCCTTGTGGGAAACACAGGGCCAAGGGTAGTGCTCTCAGCCCCACTGGAGATGCGCAGGGCAGTCGGTGCCCCGTGCCGGGCAGGCAGGGTGAGCTAGGGTGTGCCGTGGAGGGGCCTTGGGCCCACCGAGTCCCTCTGTGACTTGTTATGGGGCTGGCCTCCAGGAATCTTCTGGGTAGCTCTCAGGCTGCAATTGGGGTGGGGGCTTCTTTGGTCCCTGGCCTGGGCCCTGAGTGTAACTGGTGCTGCTGGGAGGCTCTGTGTGGCTGTGGGGTCCTGGCTGGCTTGGAGGGGGCAGGGCTGTCCTGGCTCTTGGGGAGCAGCCTCCCCGCTCTGTGTCAGGAGTCAGGTAGGTGACTCTCCTGGCTTGGGTGGTCAGGCCTGCCTGTATCTCAGTGGGCCTGAGCCTAGAGGGACCAGGGGCCTGGCAAGTGGCCTCTGACTGTGCTGGTCTTGGCTCAGCTACACTGCGTGGTGACAGAGCTGCCCGGGGCTGGGACTCCCCTGTGACGTCCCCAGCTTGAGACACTGGCTCATTAGCAGCTGCAGGTGTATTCATCTGTTCCTTCCCTAGTCAGAGGTGGGTGAGGGTCACCTGGTCCCCAGGGCAGCGAAGGGAGCCTCGGGCAGAGCCATTCATCAGGCGGATTAGCTGGGCCTTCCCTCCTGGTCAGAGGAGGATTACAGCCTGGGGCTGCTGAGGAGGGGGCAGGAGAATGGGGTGCAGGGGCTTCTTCCCTGCTCCCTGTAATGGAAACAGTCCCGGCAACAGTGTGGGGCTGGGGCCGGGCCCACTCACTCTGGGCCCCCTCCCAGAGCYCCATCCAGGCGCCCACGTCCCTCCYTGGTCACAGAGGGAGGCCAGTGGGTGACTTGAGGAAGGAGGGCAGGGGAAGGAGCGCTGTCCCCTGGGGGACGGGCCCGGCCAGGGGAGAGCAGGTGTGTCCAGGGGAGAGCAGGTGTGTCRGGGCGGGGAGCCCCAGGGCAGAGGGGAGCAGGTGTGTCRGGGCGGGGAGCCCCAGGGCAGAGGGRAGCAGCTGGTCTTGGATTCCCGGAGCTGGTGGGCTGTGCGGGAGAGACGGTGGGAGCAGGGCAGCCGGGAACCGCGGTGGCTTCTCCCCAAGCCCAGGGCCGAGGAGTGTGGTGGCCCTGGAACACCACGGGTATGGGCCTCGCCCTCCTGCCCAGCCTTGGTGTCCAGAGGCCCTGGCATCCCCAGAGCTTGGCCTGCTTCCTCTCCCTGGCTCTAGTCCTACTGCTCCCTGGGGGTTCCAGGCTCCCCCTCCCCAGGTGGCCATGCTGTCKGGGGCTCCTGCCGCTTGTCTTTCCGGGGACTCTGGGGCTCATGCCCCTTCCTGTCCCAGTGGCTGAAGGTTCCCTGATCCAATTCAAGGCAGAAAGGGCAGGCTGCTGCTGACCTCCAGCCAGCAGATGAGGTAGGGCCTCTGGCCAGGGCTCCTAATTGGAGTCTGGGTTTGGCTTTGAGTCGATTATATCGGATCTCTGTGGCCAGCTTCCTGCTGCCCAGGGACAGGCAGGCCAGGGCCACTCGGGCTGGCTGGGACAGGAGGCCCAGAGGTCCTCCTYACCGTGARTGCTGTGGTCRTACAACAGCTGCCCCCGGCAGGGCTGGCCTGTGCTGTCGTGTGGGGCCTGGCGGGGGGAGCTGGCCAGGGAGATGCCCAGAGATCCCGGAGGTGTGGAGGCCTCCATTTCCCTCCTCTGCCCCAGGGCAGCCCGAGCACTGTTTGCTCCTAGGACGTGTGGCTKCCCTGGGGCTGTCTGGGCAGCTTGTGGCTCCACTGGGACCCTTGGCCACTTGGCTGGTGGATAGGTGGGCCCTCGTGGGGCCTGACCCCTTCCCAGGTCTGGAGGCGGCACAATGAAGTGGTGACTGTGCCCCTGGAAACAGCTGCCCCATGRCTCAGCCCTGTGGGCGTGGGGAAAGGCCAGGCTGGACGGCCAGCAGGGGCCTAGGGCTGGGGAGGACCTGGGGAGCCACAGACAGAGCTCAAGGGCCCTGGGCTCACCCCCTGTGCTGGGAGCTGGAGCAGAGAGGTGTCCTGTGTGACCTGGGAGAATGGCCTGGGSAAGTGGCCTGCAGAAGCTGGTCACTGGGCCAGGCTTTGGGAAAACATGCTGCCACTTCTGTCCCTGCTCTGGGCCTGCTCCATCCTGGGCTTTGGGATCCACTTGGAGGTCCCTGTAAGCGTGAGGCAGGTGGGGTCTGAGGTTGGGGTGGAGCAGAGAGGAACAGACACAAGCCTTGGGCACCCAGGGTAGGCAGGACCTGGTAATGGCCCCAGGGGTGGACCCATGAGAACCACCTCAGGCCTTGGGGTGGTGTCTCTGGGTCCTGGGAGGGGCCCATCTGTCCTCCCTTCGTCCTCAGGCTCGAGGCCTGGGGCCCAGGACAGCCTGCTGCCTTCCCCAGGCCCCCTTGCAGCTGGGCGTTCCCTTGGCCTAGATCCTCTGGACGCTGGGTTGGATCCAAGCAGGATTAGCCGGGATTGGTCTGAGGTGGGGGCGCCGAGGCTGGCAGCTCCCCAGCCCCCAGGATGCAGCTTCTTTTGGTCTCCTGGGGCCCTGGAGGATGGGCGGGCCGGCCGGGGCCTTCTGGGGCTGCAGGTGGCCCTCGGGCCAATGCAGCGGGGCCTGGGGATAGCCTGGGAGAGACTTGGGGCTCTGAGGGGGAGGAGGAAGAGGTGGGTCAAGATCGACAGCACAGAGGAGCCCTCCTGCYCAGCACTGCCTCTGCCCGATCTGCTGCCCGGGCCCCTCGGGCCTCCGCGAGCCAGCCCCCACCACTGCCATCGCTTGGGGATGTGCTGGACCATGGGAGCCGTGGCCCACCTGGCAGAGGTGCTTCTCTGGGTGGGAGGGAGTATGGTGGTGTGGCCATGGGGCAGGTGGACCCACGAGGTGAGAAGGGCCAGGGAGCAGTTGCCCTGCTGAGGCCTGGCCAAGCTCTACCGGGCCATGGGGCTGTCCAGGTGCCTTGGGGCAGTAGGGGCTATCTTGGAGGTGCAAGGGGCCTGGGGTCTCCCATCCCATCCTGGGGATGAACAGGGTCCTGCAGTGTTGGCTGTTTCACTCTCGGCCACTCGGGCAGTCTGCGGGTACCCCGGCCTCCTGGGGGCTGAACCCGGGGTGGGAAGCCGGCAGGGCCAGGGCTAGGGCCTGGAGGAATGTGCTGGGGGCAGCTTGGGTGCTCCAAGCTGCCTTCCAGGGGGACTGGGGCACCTTCTGCCCAGGCAGGGTGGGCTGCTGTGCTGAGCTGGCCAGGAGGGCCCCTAGGGAGGTGAGACTGAACGAGGAGGCGCGCTGTGCTGCCCGGAAGGCCTGGCATCGCGTCCTGTGGCCCCCGGAGGCCGCGGTCAAGGCTCTCTGCCTCTCCAGCCTGCTCTGCTGGCAGAGGGGGTCTCATCCAGCTCAGCCCTCCAAAACCCTGTGGTGGCCTCAAGGACCTGTGTGTCCCCTGTCCCTGCTGCACCAAGCAGTCACACCTGTGTCTTCCTGAGCCTCGCTCCCTGTGAGTGCGGAGCCTGCGGCTCCTGTTTGCTTGTGGTCAGCACTAGCTCCCTCCTCAGAGTCCCCAGGTGGAGCTGCCCAGGTCCCCTGCAGCACCCACCAGGGGTCCCTCCCTATGTGCCTCTCACAGGGTTGGACACTGTTGAGCATCAGCAGCTGTAGCTCTTAGGGCTTGGGCTTTCTGTAAGCAGGTATGCAGGGCTTGGGGGCAGATACTGACCTGTCCCTGGGCCAGGGCCAGCTGACCCTGGCCTGGACTCCTTAAAGCCTATGGCCCCCTCTCCTTGGACAGAAAAGGGAGATTTGACTAGTCCCTCCGACCTCAGATCTGTGCCCTCATGCTTCTGTGGCCTTGGAGAGTAGACAGTGGAGTGTCCTTGCTGCCCCCTGGGGAGGAGGAGGTTCCTGGGGATGCCACAGGAAGGGGGTGCTGGCTCTCAGGTGTGGCCTGTGGGCATGGGTAGCACCTGCTGGGTCTGCCCTGTGCCTGGCTGAGGGGTCTCTTCTGCTCAGTGGCTCCTGAGAGCCAGGCTAGCCACGGGGCCCTGTGTCTAGCTGTGGGCTTTCCATGCTCCTTCAGTCTGCGTGGTGGCYCCTCAGGGTCCAGACTGACTGCAGCATCGTCCAGGTGTTTCTGGGATGGGCCACGGCCCAGCAGAAAAGGGCAGGTCCCCCCTGGGGTCTCGCCTGGCCCCAGCCCTGGGTGGGTGGATGGGGTAGGCAGGGCGTGGGCTGCCGCAGCTCTCCCGGCCCTGAGGTCTGTCTCTGCTGTGTCCAGTGGAGCGGTGCATGAGCAGCATGCAGGAGGGGACCCAGATGGTGAAGCTCCGAGGCGGCTCCAAGGGCCTGGTCCGCTTCTACTACCTCGACGAGCATCGCTCCTGCCTCCGCTGGCGGCCCTCRCGCAAGAACGAGAAGGCCAAGAGTGAGTGGGCAGCTTGGGGAGCGGGRGGGACAGTCCCAGGGCTCAGGAGCCCTTCCAGAGCAGCTGCTGGACAGTTGGGTGCCGAGCCCCTGCGTCTGGGGTATCTCTAGACTCAGGTGGCCTTGGAGTTCCACGGTGGCCTCTGGACTGCAGGGCGGGAGGGGCTGGGGCTGCTCAGGGGCAGGGTCCTGGGGTGAGGTGGGCTGGGGGCAAGCAGCCCAGGGGGGGGAGAAGAGCAGCCAGAAGACAGGAAACAAGACCTGAGCCCGGCGCCCAGGGTGGGCCTGGGGYACCGAGCACTGGCCCAGGCAGCCTGGGTGGGAGCACGAGGGGAGATGTRGCCAGCTTTGTGCAGGGGCAGATGGGAGAATCCGGACACTGAGGGCCAGGTAAGAGGCCAGGGTGGAGGGACACTTGRGCCTCACAGACCAGGGGTAGGTGTGTCCAGTGCCTGCTCTGGCTTTGCTGAAGGGCAGTATCCAGGTGTGCCAGGGAAGGGCCTCAGTCTAGTGGTCGCCAAGGACACCACCACCGAGTCCCAGGAGGGAACACGGTGAGGAGGTCCTGGGTTGGATGGCTCCTCCAGACCCCCAGGGGCCAGCATGAACTGTCCCTTGGGTCCTGGGAGGTSGAGCCTCCCGAAGGCTGCTCAGATAGGAGAAGCCCCAGCGGTCTTAGATGTCCACTCTGTGCTGGGCACTGTTCCTGGCACTGGGCTTCCTGTGGGAACTGAGGCGTGGAGCTGGTGTGGTCATGGTGAGGTGGGCCTTTGCTCACCGTACTGACCACTGAGAAACCCAGGAGGGGCAGGGGAGCAGGCAGACGCAGGTCAGGGAGGCTGCCGGGGAGCAGCGGGGGCAGAAACCAGCAGACTGGGCTGGGGCCCCGCCAGCCTCCCCTACCCCAGAGACCCAGCTGGTGCTTGGAGCCCCCCTGGCCATGAAAGCCTCCCAGTGGGGCAGGAGCAGCAGGGGCCAGCTGTCCTCTGAACTGATATCCCGCCACATGCCAGGGATAGAGAAAGGCCAGCAGGCAGCGGGTGGCGGGGGCAGCAGCTGTGCTGAGCCCGGGGTGCCTGGTGCCCAGAGGGGCTGCCTGTGGCCTGCACATCTGGGAGGGTCCTGCCGACACCTGACAGGGCCTGAGCCACGCGGCTTCCCTCTGCACCACTCCACACCTGCCAGGACTGGTCTCAGAGGCAGCTGCAGGACTGAAAAGGAGCTGGCCTGAGCTGGACGGGTGGACGGGCTCCTGGGAGTCCCGAGTCGGCCAGACGCCTCTCAGGAGGGAGGAGGGGCTGCGGGGCCAGAGCCCAGCCACAGGGGGGTCCTCAGCCCAGTGTGTCTGCGCTCCTACTCCTGAAAAGGCTGGGGCCCCGCAGGCTCGGGGCGTTGCTGGCGCTGGGCCGGTCCGTGAGCGGAGGTCAGAGCCCCAGGGTGTGCAGCCCGGGCAGGTGAGAGATGCCTGGCCCCTGGGAGGCCCTGACCCGCCCTCCCCACCAYCCGCAGTCTCCATCGACTCCATCCAGGAGGTGAGCGAGGGGCGGCAGTCCGAGATCTTCCAGCGCTACCCSGACGGCAGCTTCGACCCCAACTGCTGCTTCAGCATCTACCATGGCAGCCACCGGGAGTCGCTGGACCTGGTCTCGCCCAGCGGGGAGGAGGCTCGCACCTGGGTGACCGGCCTGCGTTACCTCATGGCTGGCATTAGTGACGAGGACAGCTTGGCCCGCCGCCAGCGCACCAGGGACCAATATCCTTGGCCACTGGAGTAGGGACAGAACCCAGGAGCAGACCCTTGACTGTCCACCTGGGTGGGGCTCCTGCCCCTCTCTGGGTCGTTGGAGGAAGGAGGATGGGAGGGGCGCCTGGGCTGGGGTCCTCCCTTCGGGCTGCCTCKGCGGCAGGGTGGGGCGGCGTGTCCAGGCCTGGGACCCTCTTTGGCCCCTAACTCGGTGCCCAAGTGGCTGAAGCAGACGTTCGATGAGGCGGACAAGAACCGGGACGGCAGCCTGAGCATCGGCGAGGTGCTGCAGCTGCTGCACAAGCTCAACGTGAACCTACCCCGGCAGCGCGTGAAGCAGATGTTCAGGGTGAGCCGGGGCGGGCCCTGCCGGACACCACGGGGCTGCCGCSGGGAGGGGTCCCAGGTGCACCAGGGGAGCCGCGCCCGCCAGGGTTCTTCAGCAGAGGAAGGGGAAGGCACTCCCCCAGCTGGGCCTCTGCCAGCTCCGGGGAAGGGGCTGGGCACAGAACACAGGCCCGGCTCCAATTCTGGGCACTCGGAGCAGGCATGCAGGCCCAGCCCCCACAATCCCTGGGTCTCAGAATGCCTGGGCTGGGGCAGGGCCCCCACTGACCGAGAGGCTCCGGTGAGCTGACGCATGCTGCCTTGGACAACCGCCTGGTGCTAGACGTTATGAAAATGCACCCCACAGGGAAGCGGAGGCCTTTACTGTGTGTAATTAGTTCTTTCCGGAACCTCTTCGAGCTGAGGAACTCTGCTGTCAGCAGGTCCTGTTTGGGGCAGGAATGGGCTGAGCCAGCGCCAGGCCCTGGGCCCCCTCCCCTGACTGCAGCCTGGAGAGGGGCTCATGAGCTTCAGCACCACGCCTCCCCCCAACACGTATGTGTACACGTGTGTGGGCTCACACATAAGCGTGCTCACACACAAGCACGTCCACGCTCTTGGCCTGACAGCACCGCTCTGTCCGGTTTCCTGTGCTCTCCTGCTAGACAGGTAGTCATGCCTGGCTGGAGTGGGCAGCAGATCTGGCTGGAGTGGGCATGGCAGCAGATCTGGCCCACGTCTGTGAGGGGCTGGTGCTGTCAGACTGCCCACGGAGGACTGCAGAGGCCCCTTGGGGACAGAGACTGCCTGGGCAGTGGGACTGGCGCACGGCTCACGTCTGGTGTCAGCAACCCCCTCCCCCTGACTGCTTGGGGACGGCCCAGCCCCACCCCTTCTGGGCCTCTGGGGGCAGCTCTGGGGGCAGCTCTGGGTGCAGCAGTCCCTTCCTCAAGGTGAGGCTCCTGGGACCAGGCAGCAGAACCCYAGGGGAGCCTCACAGGTAGGAGGAGGAGGAGGAGGGTCGGCCCTTGTTGGATGGGCCTGCTGAAGGTCCAGCTCAAGGTCACGGTTTGACCTGTGGCGGACCTCTTGCGGCCCGTGCTTGCCCACCCTGTCACGAGCACCCTGGGCCTCTGGGCACTCGTGGGCTCTCAGGGTCCCTCTGTGCAGTTCCAGGCCTGGCTGTGCCCTGGCACCACCAGATTGTCTGGAGGAAGTCCTGGGCTGGCAGTGGAGTGGGTAGGAGGGGTCAGGCTCCAGGGCTCTGGAGAGGAGCAGGTGGCACCTCACACCCCAGAACCCACGCAGTTCAGACCCAGTGGCCATTGTCCATGGTGGTCAGCCAGCCGGAGATGGCCCCAGTGCCTGAGCACCTGCTCTCCCAGCCCACCCGTGCAGCAGACCTCTGCTGGTGCTGGAGCCACAGGAAGGGAGYGTGGCTCCAGCCAGGCTCAGGTCACTCTGATAATTAGCATCAATTTGTTTGTAAGAAAAAAATCTTGGTATTATTTCCAGCTGCCTGGAACTGCCCAGTCAGAGTGGAGATTGATTAGACTCCAACATAATTTCATTAAGCCCAGGAACGCTGGAATGTGGGGTGACCAGCGCCCACCCTGTGCCCGGCCGCCCAGAGCACCCTTGGCCTACAGAGACCTGGCTCAGCAGRGGGCTGGGGGAGCGCATCAGCCCTGTGGCCGGCAGCAGCACTGCCCAGGGTGGCCATGTTGCTGGGGGTGGGGTCAGGCCCTCTTTTCTTGGGGGGTTGAGGCCTTAAGAGCACTTCACTCACTGCCGAAGGACAGAGCTCTGTGCTCACTGGTGACTGGCAGATGTCCCGCCTGGATTTGAGGCCATGCTGCTCAGTCCAGTGGGCAGTGAGTGATGCTCGCCCTGGGATGCGGCTGCTCGACAGTGGGTGACCAGCCCAGCTCCTCTCTCAGAAAGACACCTCTGGCCTGTAGTGGGCATGGTCTGGCAGTCCCGGGTGAAGCCGTTAGCTCTCAGACTCAGGGCCGCCCTCCTATCTAGGGTCAGACACACGAGGTCCTGTCTGTGCCTGCTGGGCCTTGGGGCCTGTGGCCTTGGGCTGTCCTGGCCTTGGCCTGGGACGCAGCACGGGCACTGGGGTCCYGCTGCACACCCATGTCTGGGCCAGGCCTCAGCCAGGGAGTGGGCAGCAGGGAGCACGAGCCAGGGCCAGCTCGCCCCAGAGCCCTCTCACGGAGGAGGGGACTGCTGGGCTGCCGGGCGAGTRTCCTGGCATGGAGGGCTCCTCGGGGACCTGGCCTCATCTCCTGGCCACACTAGGCTGAATGGCCACACAGGGAAAGGCCGTCCTGTGGCTGGCAAACCCAGCATGTGCAGCCGTCCATGGTGATGGGCCTGCCTCCCTTCTGGCCCCACCTGTGGACATGGTCATCGCCTGGGGGATGGCGCCTGTGGTCTGCTCCCTCAGTGCCCACATGGGCTCCTCCTGGCCTCCCTGAGAGCCCTGGATGGGCTACTGAGAACCTAAACCCCCTCAGCCCACTGATGGCTCTGGGCAGGGGACCCTGGGCTGTCTGAGTGCCTGCCCAGGAAGCCTCAGGTGGCCACAGCTGTGGAGGGGCAGACTCAGTGCACTTCCMTCCAGGCTGTCCACTTCACAGAGGGCTGGACCTGGACGTTTTGTGCAGGCCCAAGGATTCCGAGGACCTCTGGATGCTGCTGGTCAGGCACCTGTGTGCCCAGGCCTGGGGTGCCAGGGCCCAGGACAGAGCCTGCCTTTGGGCAGATGGTCAGTGGAGGGCCAGGATTGAGGCAGGAGGCTGAGCYGTGTCCTGGGCCCCCAGACGTCCTGTGCTGCTGAGCACCTAGGCAGGCACGTGTCCAGCCCAGGGCCACCCCAGCCCAGGCCATGGACACTGCCACTCTGTGAAGTGCAGGGTCCCTCTGGCCAAGCACTCTTTGGTGAGAGGGCTGGTCTGGGTGCCACACCAGGGCCCCTCACCTCCAGGCCAGTAGTGGGCTTGATCTGCCCACCCACCCCACCCTGGTCACCCAGGCTTTGCAGGGCCCCAATTCCTAGGGAACGAAGGCCTCAATTCGCCTCTTCCACTGTGGCCTTTCTGGCCYTCCCAGGGACCCCGTGGACCCTGTGGTGCCTTAGGCCTCCTCTGGGCAGCCCAGCTTTCCACGAGGGGGTGCCCTGGTGCTCCKGTCTGCCCTGGGCTGACCCTTGCAGGGGCAGGTGCTCCCCACGCCTGTGGAGGCAGAGAGGGGGCCGCGGTTGGTCTCCCTGGGCTCCCTGGCGGGATTGCTCATGGCAGCCGTGGCGCCTGGGGGAACCCCTCCGGCTTCCTGGGGTTGTCTGGTGCGTCCCTCTGGCTGCCGAGGGCTAAAGTGACCAGCCATTTACCTCTACCCCGGAGACCCGAGTCGGGACGCTGCTAGACCCCGGGCCCTGGCATTTCTGATCGGGGGGCAGCCAGTAGGAACTGTGGGCTGTGGGGCCCAGCCTGGGGTGCAGGTTGGCCCCAGTGTGAGGTGTGGTGACTCCCGTGTGGGGTGGCTGGGGCTGACCAGGGACGGTGGTCAGATCTGTGTCTTCCAGGGTTGGGGGCAACAGGGAGCCCTGTGAGCTGTGTGCCCAGAGGGTCTCTGGCCGTGCTGCGGGCAGGGGAGGAGGGAGGCTGGGCCTGGGGCTGGACTGAGGAGGGGTGGGCCTGCAGGCCCCCCTGAAGGCAGGGGCTTGCCTGTAGGAAGCGGACACGGATGACCGCCAGGGAGCGCTGGGATTCGAGGAGTTCTGTGCTTTCTACAAGACGATGTCCACGCGCCGGGACCTCTACCTCCTCCTGCTGACCTACAGTAACCACAAGGACCACCTGGACGCTGCCGACCTGCAGCGCTTCCTGGAGGTGGAGCAGAAGGTGAGGCCTGGCGGGGCGCCGCGTGGCCGGCTGTGTGGCCGGGCCTTCAGCTCCCTCAGCGTCTGGGCCTGGGGACAGCAGCTGAGGCCAGCAGATTTGCTTCGGGGTCAATTTTCCAGGGTGCAAACCACAGGGGGGCTGCCAGGTGGGCGGGGCCTCCGCCCAGCTCTGTCCTGACAGAGGACCCCAAGCCTCCAGATGGGGCCCACAGCTGGCCCATGGCACCAGCTTCCTGCCGGGTGTCTTGAGGACTAAGTTTTGTGGCCCAGCCTTTAGAACTGCCCCTTAGCCACAGCGGTCAGCCACAGAGGCCCGACTGGCTCTGGCCCATGTCCACCTGTACACACCTGTGTGTCCAGCAAACACCAGATGCTACCTCTTCATCTTGACCCAGGAAGTCAGTCCACATAAGAGACCATACCAAGCTGAGTGGTCCCTGGGAACTGCCCCCCTGGGTCCTGATACTCCCTGGGTGGCAGGACTGCAGGTCCAGCCCAATGGRGCAGAGTGCCCTGTGGGAGGGCTCAGACAGTGTGGGGCCCTGCCGTGCTGGCCCTGGGCACTGTGAGGACCATTCCTGGACCTGCCCTCCTGCCCCCCCATAGCCCCTCTCAGGGAGGAGGGCAGGGCAGGGTCAAGCCTCGGGGCGGCACAGCACCTGGGGACAGCTCAGGCCTCTGCTGTGCCTCGCGTCCTTCTTCCAGTCAGGCTGATGGTGATGGCCACGGGCAGCTGCCCTGGGAGTGTGGCAGGTGGGTGGCAGAGCAGCAGGAGGGGACCCCAGGCAGGGCTCGCGAGGGGCCACTATCGGTGCCCCTCCCCTGCCCCTGCATGTCCTCCCCCCTCCTGGGTCAGCCCTAGGGGCTACCCTGGGCCTGTGGTCCCAGTTCCCCTCCCACCTCACGGTTTGCTGGGCTCCRTCCCATGGAGACCACGTGGGACCCCTTTCCCGTCCTCCTGGCAGGACACTTGGTAGTTGTGTCCAGGAGAGAGGCTGGCTCCTGGGGCTAGGTCCTACCGTCCTGGGTGACCCGCTCCCGCCTACCACTGTGGGTGGCATTGGTATGAGGCTGTGGGAKGTGACCCTGGACAGCAGGCCCTCTGTCCTGCCCAGATAGGGATGGACAGAACTGACTCTCTCCCTGACCTGAGCTCCAGGCTTCCCAGAACTTTCCCTGCAGCCTGGGGCCCCCTGTCCTCTGGGCAGGTGGTTTGAGCCCTTGGCTTAGCCTCCTCCAACTCTGGGCTTCCCATGGGACATGGCTGGCTCAGAGATCTGGCCCCACTTCGCCCACTCTGCACTGTGGCCTGGCTCCCGGGGACTTCCCAGAACCCCCCTGGGCTGTCCTGGCGGGAGAGCTCCCGGTCTTGACTGACGGCACAGGCTCTGGAGGCCGCTCAGCCTCCGTGCTGGGCCTTCCTGAGCCGGGCTGCATGGCTCAGCTTCCCAGGGGGGTCAGTGGGCAGGGATTGGCTGGAGCAGGCCAGGGAAGATGAGCAACCTGTGCCCATGGGCCCTGGCAGGTGGGGTATGTCCTCCCTCTCCCGTGCTGCCCACGTGGGCCTTGGCTCCACACCAGGCCCCAGGGCACAGCCAAAGACCCCTTCTGGAAGAGACCTATCAGGGAAAGCTCTTCAAAAGTCACGTGACCCTCCTGTCCTCTGGTCCCTGAGTCCCAGGCTGTGTGACCTGGGTTTGTCTCCAGCCCACACGTGTTGCTCCCACTGTGGTYAGTCCTGATGTGACCAGAGACAGGGGCAAGGGGGGTGGTGACGGTGGTGGGTGGAAGGGAGAGCTAGTGATGGGCTAGCCTGGGCYCTCGCCCCTGCTCTGGCCTAGATGAAGGGTGTGACGCTCGAGAGCTGCCGGGACATCATTGAGCAGTTTGAACCCTGCCCAGAGAACAAGAGCAAGGGGGTGCTGGGTATTGATGGTGAGTGGGCATGGCCCYGAGGCCAGGGCACTTGGGAGGAGGACGGGCACTGGAGGGGTGGCCTGCAGGCCTGGACCATGGCTCTGTGCCCTTGAGGTGGGGCAGGAGGTGATGAGAGGGGCTGGGAGCAGCGCTGACCCCTCCCCTCCTCCCCGCACTGTGTGACCACAGGTTTCACCAACTACACGCGGAGCCCGGCGGGCGACATCTTCAACCCGGAGCACCACGGCGTTCACCAGGACATGACGCGGCCRCTCAGCCACTACTTCATCACCTCCTCCCACAACACCTACCTCGTGGGCGACCAGCTCATGTCCCAGTCCCGGGTGGACATGTATGCCTGGGTCCTGCAGGCCGGCTGCCGTTGCGTGGAGGGTGAGCCCAGGCCTGCCCTCCCCGGCCAGTCTGGGCCTGGCCGGAGCGTGGCGTCTCCTGTGGGAGGTGGTGGGCAGAGTCTCTGGGCAGGGGCTAGAGTCCAGGGACAGCCCACCCTGCTTGGTGGCTGAGCCCCAGGCCTGACTGGGGTCTACCTGCTGCAGTGGACTGTTGGGACGGGCCTGACGGGGAGCCCATCGTGCACCACGGCTACACCCTGACCTCCAAGATCCTCTTCAGAGATGTCATCGAAACCATCAACAAATACGCCTTCGTGAAGAATGAGTGAGTGGCCATGCGGGGGTCTGGCCCGGCAGTGGGCAGGGGAGGGACTCCAGGGCCAGGGGCTGTAGGGGCCAAGAGGCAGGCCTTGTTTTCGGGTCTGTCTTTGAGGAGAGAGGGCAGGGAAGTGAGTCTGGGGAGAGGGCTGGCTGGTGCCTGCAGGGGCCCAAGAGCCCGAAGGCCAAGGCTGCGCAGGCAGGTGTGTCTGCAGCCCGTTGGCACACTTGGGGCACCACCCCCTGGTCTCAGCCATCCACCTGCGGTGGCCGAGAAGCCACACCGTGTCCAAGCTAAATTTGCTGTCGCTCAGCRGCGGCTGCAGAAACTATTGAGGAAAATCCAATTTAGTTTCTGGAAATAGAAGGCCGCCTCCCTGCCAATGAACTCTCCCCAAGTCCTGGCCAAAGAGGCTCAGGCGAGGAAGGAGCTGATTGAGTGAAGGAGGGAAGCAGGAGCCCAGCTGATTTAGGAAACAGGAATGGCGGGGCCCTCCCAGGAGAGCTGGCCGGCGGTCCATGTCCAGCTGCGGGGCAGGCAGCAGCGAGGAGGCCTCTGCTGGCAGCGGGACACCAGGGACTGCAGGCGAGGAGAGTGCTGCAGGGCAGGTGGTTGGACACACAAGGGTCCAGTGTCTTTGCAGGAACCAGACATCTCTGCAGCACCCTCCCCCAGCATCAGGCTTCTCCCCTGAGGTCCCTGTGTGCCCCTCCACATCTCACCTCTGCCCATCTCTTGCTCTGGTCTGTGCCCTCTTGGCCTGGGTCACCTACATTTTCTACAAGGTCATGATCACCTTTTGTAAAATACAAGTAAAATGGCTAAAGGCAAATAGAGCCAAAGGACTTGGCTGGAAAGTTACGCGCTGTCCTCCCGCTCCGCGCTGTGCTGGCAATAGCCCTGTCCAACAGCTGGTGCGTGCCAGGCTGTGTCCCCTCCTTTAAGGAGCATGTGAGGGCCTCGGGCCCCCTAGCCTCCAGTATCCAGGTCTCGCAGTCTGGCCTCTGTTCTGCATTGTTTAGCCGATGTTATTTTTAAACCTTGACTTTTTGTTTTCCTAGAGTTTCTCATTGCCTTTATTTATTTATTTTTCTAATTTGGGGAAGAAGCTCCTGCCTTCTTTATTTGTTCCAAAACCTCCAGCTCCTTCTCTRTTAACTCATTGGTTTTTCAAACTTGAGGTGGGTGGCATTTTTTCTTCAGTACCAGGGACTAAACCCAGCAGTGCCTAACCATGGAGTCACATTCCCAGCCACACCCCACTCTCATTTTTWAAAAAATTTTTTTGAGATAGGGTCTGGTTAAGTTGCTGAGGGTCTCACTCGGCTGCTGGGGTGGTTTTTCACTCCCCATCCTCCTGGTTGGGCTGTACCTTGAAGCAGCTGGCAGACCCATCTTCCTGGGCTGGGTGAGGACCCTTCCTCCATCAGTGGCAGAGGTGCCCAGGGCCTCGGCCTCCRCCTGGTGCTGGCCTCAGAGCCTGCTCCTCTTGCACTGGGGCCACAGGTATCCAGTGATCCTGTCCATCGAGAACCACTGTAGTGTCRTCCAGCAGAAGAAGATGGCCCAGTACCTGACTGACATCCTCGGGGACAAGCTGGACCTGTCATCAGTGAGCAGTGAGGACGCTACCAAGCTTCCTTCTCCGCAGATGCTCAAGGGCAAGATCCTGGTGAAGGTGAGCCGCCTGCCACCGGGCCACAGAGGGCCTCTCACCTGGGCAGGCTGGGTGTCTCCCTGCTGCAGGCAGTTCCGGGGGGGGGCCAGGCCTGGCCGGGCCTCCTTCTCCCCATGGTGCCGGTCCGGTCAGGGATCTCACACCCAGGACGCTTTCCTTCCCACCGCTGCTGCTCCAGGAAGTGCCTGGTCAGAGCGGGAGGGCAGCTCCCTGCCCTGGCCGGCTGCTGCTGTGGGTGCAGGTGCTGGTCTGTCTCCCTCAGYGTGGCCCCTGCTCCCTCTGCCCCCAGGGGAAGAAGCTCCCAGCCAACATCAGTGAGGATGCAGAGGCCGGTGAGGTGTCGGACGAGGACAGCGCCGACGAGATTGACGATGACTGCAAGCTCCTGGATGGGGATGTGAGTGGCCGGGGGTGGGGGAGCCCTCTGGTCCTGGCTCTGGTGGCGACTTAGGAAGACAGGCAGCTGAGGGGTGGCCACAGGCAGGGGCCGAGCTGGGTGCCAAGCTGCCCGACTGCAGGGAGGCCTCCCACGGGGGCTGGGGGCCCTGGTGGCCTGCCACGCCCCTCCCCATGAGAAACAGAACCCGTATTCCCAGTGGTGGGCCAGCCCCACGCCTGCTGGGGTCCTGTTTGGGTCCCCGCTTCTGAGTTGACTTGGGGTGATATCCACTACCCACCCGCAGTCTGCTTGGCTCTTCAGCAGGTGGGTGCCGAGTCCTGCCGAGCTGGACTCTGGGTGGCCAGCGGCCCTGCTCCGCCTCCCCCATGCYCAGAACTGGCCCCTCTCCAAGCAGTGCCAACCCCAGGGCCAAGAGCTCCTGCAAGACGAGGCCGCTGGCCCGGTGGGTCCTGCTGTGGCCCTCCGCAGAGTGCTCTGCACCTCTTTCTGCAGCCGGCCTGGCCGCTTGGCCTGGGAGTTGCAGAGGGAGCTCGGGTCTTTGGGGACTGTGGCTGTGCCAGGGCGGGGGCTCTGTAACTGGCGTCTCTCCTCTTCTGTGCCTGGCTCCCRCTGCGGTTGCTGTGCGGCACCAGGACTACTTCTCCCCCAGGGGCTGTTGGAGGGAAGATGTTGTGCAGGAGGCTTCCYGGCCTGGGCGGCTAATTGTCTTAGGAAGCCCCGAGGCAGCAGAATCCGCCCCACCCTGGGCCAGCCTGCGCGTCTGCCCACGATGGTGTGTCCACTTAGTGCCCACTCCAGCAGGACCCCCTCRAGGGGTCCAAGGGCATCTGGTCATGCTGGGGGTGCCCTGGTAGGGAAAGGCACCTGGCCAACCTGGAAGCTCCTCTGAATTCCACCCCTTGCCCCCGTCCACCTCCTCCAGGTTGGTGGAACCTGTGTGGGCTTCTAGATCCTGTGTTGCCCACCAGGTGCCCTGACCTGCTCCCCTGAGGCCCACTGGACGGGGCACCAGGAGCACCTGCTGCATCCCCAGGGCAGTCTGTACCCTGAGGAATCAGATGGACTTGGGTCCAAGTTCTGCCCACTGCTGTTAGCCCACGGGCCCCAGTCAGACAAATCACAGCCTTTGTGAGCTGGGGACAGGCCATGGGGGGGTGCTGGGGCTGTCACCTGCTGCTGCTTGCTGGGCTGGGGATGACACCCAGAGGCCGGCCTCTGGCTCTTGCAGGCCTCCACCAATCGGAAGCGTGTGGAAAACATCGCTAAGAGGAAACTGGACTCTCTAATCAAGGAGTCCAAGATCCGGGACTGTGAGGATCCCAAYGACTTCACCATCTCCACACTGTCCCCGTCTGGGAAACCTAGGCACAAGGCAGAGGCCAAAAAGGTGAGAACCCGATGCCCGCAGGTGCTCCAGCAGCCAGCCTGGGGTCTGGGTGAGGGCCCAGAGCATGAGGTCTAGACGCCCCCGCATGCGCCTACACACAGGTACCCCTGTGCACACACCTGCACACCTGACCTGAGCCAGACACACCCCCCGTGGGTGCACACACACACCTGATCACAGGTGCACCTGCACACAGCTGCACAGGCCTTGCAGGTGCACACCTCTGCACACGGCACGCCTCTGCACATGGCACGCCTCTGCACACATGAATGCTGTGCCCTGAGCTGCTGTGCTTCTCCTTCGTGGGCTCCCAGAGCTGTTGGTCCTAGTTGGCTTCCTTTGTGAGGACCCCTACGCTGCCCTGGTCCAGGAGCAGAGAGCTGGGGCTTGGGCGGCACTGTTCGTGAGGCTGGGGTCCCGTCCTTCTCGATGCCCCCACTTGACTCTGAGAGCCACAGTCTGGCCGCTGACAGCTTGTGAGTGGGATTGAGCAGGTGGCCCCTGGGGGACCAGGGGCTCCCCTTGGAAGGGAATTTGAGCAATGCCACATTGGTGAGGGTCCCATGAGTGACGGGGGGGCATAGTGGGGTCTTGGACATAGTCATGTCCAAGTGGGCATGGCTCAGCCCTGCCTGGAGCGCTCACAGCTGCGTGGGGACGGCCACCAGTGACCTCATGGAAGAGGGACGTGTTTTCAGGGGTTGGGGTGCCAGGCAGGGTGTCCGGGATGGGTGGTGAGGTCCCTCTTTGGGGGCAGCAGGCCTCGAGGAACAGGTGATCAGCCAAGCTGCCTGAGCACAGAGGCCATGCACTGCTGGACAGTCCACGGCAGCTGGGCAGCTGGGCCCAGAACTGGGTAGGCCTCTGTGGGGACCCGCAGGCCCTCGGGAGGGGGAAGGGAGGGCATCCCCTGGCTGGGCTGGGCCCCCTGCCAGGACTAGTATTTTTGGAGGTGGGTGTTTGTGTTGCGCCCACGGCCCAGAGTCCACTGCGCGGGAGAGTCCACGGGAGCAGAGAGTCCACGGGAGCCGMGGACGCGCTCTGTGCAGGTGGCTCTTGTGGTCCCTGCACACAGTCCTGCCTGACGTTTCCTGCCCAGATGTCAAGGCAGCAGAGTGTGGCCCTCGTGAGGCTCTGCACAGCTGGAGGTTGATGTCACCCTCTGCTCTCCTTGACCACGGAGCACCTGGGGGCACTGTGGCGACATACAGCCCACCTTGGGCCTGGGTGGCCRCAGTGGTGGGGGCTGTGCTCCGAGAGGACTTCCTGGGGGAGGGGAAGGGGCTCGGGCTGAGCTCCGAGGTGGCAGATGGGGGTCCCACCCTGCAGCGTCGGCTGCAGGCTCTTCTCTGTCTTGCCATGACACAGGACAGAGGAGCTGAGACCCTCAGGGACAAGCGGGAGGGACATATGGTGGAGCTAGGAGCAGGGGGACATGGGAGGGCCACAGAGGACTCATTCACCCACCCAGGGAGTTCCAGGGGCCGGGTTGGCAGGCGGAGGGCACCTGTGGGCACTGTCSAGGAGATGGATGGTCCCGCCATGAGTCACTTGGACCCTCTCTTCCCTGGCTGGGCGCTGTCCCCTCTGTATGTGAGGACCCTTGGGGACATGAGGCCCTGCTYAGGGGTCCCTGTGAGAGGGCAGGGTATATACCGGGGGAAGGGGAGAGGACCCCAGCCCCGGTGCTGGACARTAGCAGGCCTCGCCTTCTGCTGGGGACCGTCCCCAGCTCTAGCAAGGTCCAGCACAGGACCCTCCTCATTGAGGGTGGGCCCGCCAGGCACTGTCTGTAGTGTGGCCCCTCRGAGGGTGGCCGGCTGAGCTGCTTCCTGTGGGGACCTGCGAGGGCCCAGTGTGGGCTGTGGCTAGCTGCCATCGCTCAGGACCACCAGCCACCTCGCCTGGGCTGTGCCCAGATTGGGGTCACATGGGGCTTAGCAGCAGCTGCATTCTGGTGATGCTTGAAAAGGCTTAAAGCACATCAGCCTCAGCCAGCCCCCGGCACACCTGGCGCTCAGCCTCCCGCCTCCATCCGTGGAGTAAGGGAGGCCGGGGGTGAGTGTCTCCAAGGCACTTGGGACAGATAGCCCTGAGCACCTCTGCTACTGTGGACTTCTGGGCAGGAAGCCCACTGACGGGAAGGCTGGGTCAGTGAGGCCCCCGGCTACTCGGCTTCAGGAAGGGCCACCAGACCCAGCCCTACTCCACAGGAGAGTGAAGGAGGGGGACGGGTGCAGCGAGCGGGGAGCTGGCGGGAGGTTCCGGCAGGACTCAGTGGGTGTGCCTGGCTCGGGGTGTGGGTGTGGGTGGGGACCTGCTGTGTTCTCCGTCCTGTCTGACAGGGTGGCCCCGGGGTGGGGTGGTCCAGGCTCAGGCTGCTCTTGGGAGGACAAGGAGCGGAGGGCTCTGCTGTCAGATCCCTAGCAGCTCCCAGCAGCAGCCYTGGAGCATCTGTGAGTGCAGGTGAGCCTGCGTGCAGGGGCATCTGTGTGTGTGCACRCGTGTGTGCAGGGTGCACACAGAGGCTCTGTACGGAGCCCTCCCGTGTGTGTACTGCAGGACKCCTGTGGCTTCACTCAGGTGGTCCTCGGAGTGCAGGACCTGCCCCTCCCCACCAAGGTCCCCTGGGCCAGGTGTCGGGATCTTTGCTGCACCCTGGGCACCTCCAGAGCAGAGCTGGGCCAACTTTGGGGGCACAAAATGGACTGGTGGGAGTGGGAGGTGGGGGCTGCAGCAGCCTCAGGCGTAGAGGCACAGCTGGGGCTTCCGGTGGCGCCAGCGGGGATGAGCTCAGGGACAGCTGCCTGGATCTGAGGGCCGGGGCGAGTGCTCCCAGGACTGCGCTCCGGGGTCCCGGTGGGAAGGCCCGTCCTGTGCTTCTGGGACTCGTGGGCATGGACTCTGGCTTTGGGGAGTGGGCCTGGCGACGCTTGTCTAGCCTGGCACTGCAAGAGGTGGGTCAGGACCGTGGGCTGCGGGGACCTCGAGGAAGGCCTGCGCAGGCGGTCACGGCTAGACCTTCCACTCAAGCTGCTTGTCGCGTCGTCGCCCTCTGCTGGACACAGGTTCAGAGCCGGGAGCTCGTGCTTCAGACCACACACTGTTGTGACCGGGCCCACGAGTGCAGGCAGCCCTGGGCCTGGGGTCCTGTTCTCCAGCTCCTAGCCTCCCTCARGCGGGCTCAGCTCTGCCTCTTCCAGGCAGGCTTCCAGGGCTGCAGGGACCTGCCTGGCAGGTGTCGTCCTGGTTTGAGGCCAGGCTCACCCTCTGTCTCTCCCTTGGGGTCAGAGCAAGGCCGAGGAGGACACGGAGTCTGGGGAGGACGCCGGGGCCAGCAGACGCAACAACCGCCTCCTCATGAGCAGCTTCTCCAAGCGCAAGGTCCAGCGAGGCTCCTGGGCTGGGGTCCCTGTCCGAGCCCACTGTCCTGCCTGCACCAGGTGCTAGCTGTGGCTGGCCTCAGGAGCCCAGGGGCAGGGGCTGGTCTGGGGCAGGTGCCTTGGCCCTTGGGTCACTGCACTCCTCTGGCCCACACTGACTGCTGCCCTGAGAGCCCACTGGAGCCTGGGTGGCCTGGGCACTGCAGATGGGAGAGGCCTGGCAGGTGGGGCTGCTGGGAGCCCAGGGCAGGCCCTCCACGCACCCTCCAGCCTCTGCCCATGGCCTGGCCTGACCCAGGGCTCCACGGGTCACGACTCTGCCCCCCTGCACAGAAAAAGGGCAGCAAACTAAAGAAGGCAGCCAGCGTGGAGGAGGGGGACGAGGACCTGGACTCCCCAGGAAGCCAGAGCCGAGGGTCAGTGCAGTCCTGAGGACCGGACGGCTGCGGGCCCCTCTCTGTCCCCTCAGGGCGGTTTCACTGAGGCTGACCTCTGAGCGCAGTGGGATGGGGGCAGGTGCGGGGTCCCACTCCCAGCCCCATCTGATGCCCGTGGAAGCAGCAGGGGATGAGGCTGTTCTGCAGACCACAGCMAGAGTGGGACGTGCAGACCAGCGTGGTGGCCCCAGAGAGTCTAGCAGGGTTGGGCCTGGACGTGGGCAGGGGCCAGGAGGAGCAGCGTGACTCTGAGGACCCCAGGTCTCCCGGGCCCAGACCCTGCTCCGCCCACCAGTCCCACCTCCCTCCTCCTGAGGGCTCCACCTCSCGCTCTCCCCAGGGAGGGTGTCCGTGCCAGGCCTCAGATGTCCCCACGAGAGCAGCTCCTKCAGGGCCAGGGCAGGCCACCAGGGTTGGCGCCATTCCCGTGCGTCCACTGCTTCTTGTGGCAGCTCTGGGACATGGCACCTAGCAGCAAGGAGCGTCCCTCCCCGCACCCCCTCCCTTCTCCCCACCAGGCTTTGTCCCCTATCCCTGTCCCTCCCACTGTCCCACCCACCCCTCTCCTACCCTTCCACCTCTTCATTGCCACTTCCACCTGGGTGCACGATGGCACCTGCTTGAGACTCTCCTGTGGTAAAACTTCCAAGGTCCCTGCCCGGAACCCTCCAGAAACCCCATGGGCCTCGAGTGCCATTGGCCAGCGCTCATGTCCCTCTCACTCATGCCTGCAAGTGCCCAGGGCCTTGACCTGCCAGTGGCTSCTGGCCAGCCCATGTCCAGCAGCCTGGGTGTGCCCCGCCCCATCCCAGTACCCAGAGTGCACAGTCTGGGGACCTGACGGATTTGCTCGAGCCCTGGAGCCTGACTCCTGGGGCTGGGCCCCCAGAAGGCCCCGAAGGTGGGTGCCAGCCACAGGGCCCTGACCGCTCCTGTGTGCGCCCTGCAGGACAGCCCGGCAGAAGAAGACCATGCAGCTGTCCCGGGCCCTCTCGGACCTGGTGAAATACACCAAGTCCGTRGGCACCCACGACGTGGAGACGGAGGGTGAGGTTCGCAGGTGGGGCGGCACGCTGGGAAGGCCAGCGGCTGGTGTGCCCCGAGGCCTGGACTCACGCCGGCCGGTCTGCACACAGTGGTGTCCAGCTGGCAGGTGTCATCCTTCAGCGAGACCAAGGCCCACCAGATCCTGCAGCAGAAGCCGGAGCAGTACCTGCGCTTCAACCAGCACCAGCTCTCCCGCATCTACCCCTCCTCCTACCGGGTCGACTCCAGCAACTACAATCCGCAGCCCTTCTGGAACGCAGGCTGCCAGATGGGTGGGTGGCTGGCGGGGCAGCAAGGAGGGGCCTGCCTGGCACAGACCATCCCTGCAGCCCAGCCTCCCCTGTTCCGAGGCCTTGGAGAGCTTCTAGGCCTGCTGCTGCTCCCTGAGTGGGTCCCCAGGGGTCCCCCAGGCCTCAGGCAGCCTGGGAAGACAGCCGGCCTGCCCCAGCTCCTGGGGTGTGCGGGACTGGGCCAGGCTTGGGCACTTTCTGCCAGTTCACATGCCCCATCTCATGGCCGTGAGCCTCAGGGCCTGCACACAGAAGGCAGTGGCCGCAGGTGGGGGGACACAGGCATGGGGACAGCTGCTGACCCAGAGGGTCTCCGGTCCCACCCACAGTGGCCCTGAATTACCAGTCAGAGGGGCGGATGCTGCAGCTGAACCGGGCCAAGTTCAGTGCCAACGGCAGCTGTGGCTACGTGCTCAAGCCCCAGTGCATGTGCCAGGGTAAGGCCCAGGGGCTGGGGCAGGCTCCTGCAGGACCCCAGGAAAGTGGGGATGGGTGCCTCCCTTTGGGGCAGCAGAGACCCCAGCAGGGCCAGGAATCTGGAGGTTCATGGGCAGAATTTGTCTGCGCGAACCCTGGTGGGCTGGACCCCGGTGCAGGCCTGGCGTTTTGCAGAGCCCGTCCCGTCAACCTAGTTTTCTGCCTGGTGTGCTCATGTACCCGCGGGCTTTCCCATGGCTCCGCCCTCTCTGCACGGTCTGGGTCCTGCTGGACAGTGTCACTGCAGAGCTCGAGGTTGAGGTCATTAACCCCGACAAGCCCGGCTTCCCGGTTGCCGGTCACCCCACTCATGACGCTGCCCCCACCAGGCCACGGCTCCCAGGGTAGTCTGTGGGAGGGGGCTGCGTGCAGCCTGCGCCCCGGGGTGTGGCAGGCCTCGCTGGAGGCTGTCCCGCTCTGCCTCACACTGTCCCTCAGGCRTCTTCAACCCCAACTCTGAGGATCCCCTGCCTGGGCAGCTCAAGAAGCAACTGGCCCTGAGGATCATCAGTGGGCAGCAGCTCCCCAAGCCACGGGACTCGATGCTGGGTGACCGCGGGGAGGTAGGGCAGGCACCTGCAGACGGGACATCGGGGGAGCACCTGGCCCTGGTACCAGCCCTGTCCTGTCCCCAGATCATTGACCCCTTCGTGGAGGTGGAGGTCATTGGGCTCCCTGTGGACTGCAGCAAGGAGCAGACCCGAGTGGTGGACGACAATGGTGAGTGACCTGGGCCGGTGACAGCACCAGCCTGTGCCCCAGGGCCCCAGCCCAGTGCTCCACGTCTCCCCTCCGGTTGGGCAGAGGGAGTAGCCCAAGGGCCTCAGGGTGGGAGCCTGCTGGGGACAACCCCGGCCCCTGTGACCCTCCCCCGGCGGCCTGCAGGGTTCAACCCCATGTGGGAGGAGACCCTGGTGTTCACAGTGCACATGCCCGAGATCGCACTGGTCCGCTTCCTCGTCTGGGACCATGATCCCATCGGGCGAGACTTCATTGGCCAAAGGACACTGGCCTTCAGCAGCATGCTGCCAGGTGGGCAGGGGCCCAGGCTGGGGGGGTCCCGGGGGTCCCGCCCCACCGCACCCCCAGCAGCCCCCATGCATGCTGGCGCCCCACCCCCCTGGCTGAGGGCTCCAGGGCAGGGAGGGCTGAGTTGGCACTGCTGGGGGGCAGCGGTGCCTGATGGAGGGGTCTTACGAGGCTGGACTCAAGGCTCGGGACCTTTAAGGAAAGGTGGAGGAGCAGGGACAGGGGAACGTGACGCTGTGCCCTGGCTGCCCAGGCTACCGGCACGTGTACCTGGAGGGGATGGAAGAGGCCTCCATCTTTGTGCACGTGGCTGTCAGTGACATCAGTGGTAAGGTGAGTGTGGCCTGGCGGGAAGGGCTTGTGGCCAGGGGAGGGCTGCTCCCGCTCCTTACCCACCCCCACCCCGGCTGTGTCCCTGGGCTGCTCCTCACCCTTGGCATTGTGGCCTGGAGACCAGCTCTCTGGTCCCCTCTACCTGTGACGTGGGGAGTTGGGGGATGCAACCCCAGAGCCTTCTAGTGCTGAGCCCAGGTCTCAAAGGGGATCTGGGCAGCCCAGGGCAGGTGTGAGCGAAATGTCCTTGTCCCAAGAAGGGAGCCCCTGGGCCCCTCCCTGCCCTCCTGTGTTGCCAGTGCCAGGCCAGCCTCAGTCTCCCTGGTGGCCTTGCCAGGGGTGCCCGGCTGTCTTCTCAGGAGAGGTGAGAAGAACTCACAGCCCTTCCTGTGGCTCTCCCTCCCTGTCCYGCCGGCCCAGGGCAGGGTCTGCCTGGACTTGCCCATTACCTGGCCCCCAGCACATTTGCCCCTGCCCAGACTAGGGCAGGACGRGGGTCTCAGCTTTTGGAGCTGGCTACTCTGGTTCGGAGTGGGCCTGGCATCCTTAGGGTGCTGCCCAGGGCAGCTGGTGCCTGGGTCTGTGACACACAGCACAGGGTCCTGCCCAGGGCCAGCACTGACCTTCTCTCCTGCCATGTCTGCGGGCCCAGAGGCTCTGCCGGCTCCGGCACTCCTGTGCCACTGTCTGTCCGTCTGTCACGTGTCTGCTGTCTCTGCGGCCCTGGGTCCCCTCCCCACACAGTCGGGGCCTCGCCACCTTCACTCTGTCTCTTTGGTCTTACAGTGGGCTTCTCTGTGTCCAAAGTCTACTTTTAGACGTGCAGCCTTGTTAGGAGTCACCAGGTACCCTGCGCGGCGGGACAGTGTAGCCCGCCGCCCACCTGCATGCCAGGCCGCACCCATTAGCATCCATGATTCCTGGTAGCATTTTGGAGACTGTCCGTTCATGTGACATGGGTCATGACATGGTTCCGGGGTCCCCTGGGCCATCCTCAGCCAGAGAGCAGCATTTACGAGGCAGATCCAGGATTGAGCCAAGGCCACGTGCTTCCCCGCTGTCCTGTCTCTCCACCCGCTGCCCTCCTCTGTCTGGAGCTCTCCTGGGCTCCCTGTGCCCCTTCCCTCTCCATCCCTCCTCGTGCTGTGACTTTGCCACTCCTGATCCTGCCAGGGCCTGGGGTGGGGCAGCCTGGGCAGGAGCTCCGAGCAGGAATCCTGGATCTCCTTCTAAATGGCTTCCAGCCACATGGACCAAATTGCACTGGATTTGGGATCTTGAATCAGGAAGCTGATTCAAGTGTGGCCACTTAACTGCCTCTGCCAGAAGGGCCCCCGCCACAGGGGCCCTAGGCCGCCCCGCGCACGAGCTCAGCCCGGCCTGGGGGAGCGGTGGGAGTTGTCGGGGCCTCTGTGGGATGCAGGGTGTTTGGCATGTGAGGATCCTCCTGGCCAGCCTTCTCCAGCAGTGACCCAGGCCGGGGCTGCAGGAGAGGCCTGTGGAGGGACCTTCCAGCCCGGGTGGCCAGGGAGCTGGGCTGTTGTCTGGAGCTGGAGGCCTGGAAGCGAGCCTTCTGAGGCATGGTCCAGAGCCCAATGGTAGGCCCAGGCTCCATGAGCAGAGGGCAGTGGGAAGGCGCCTGGGGATCCAGGAAGGCTTCCTGGAAGGGATGGCCCCTGCAGGCAGGAGCACCCCTGGGAAGCAGGTGGGTCGGGGCCTGTGGTCGAGCAGGCCTTGGCCAGCCCAGGGACTGGCTTCTGTGGATGCTGGTGCCCACGATGGGTGGACATGACCCATGACCCAGGGCTGCAGGCGTAAGGTGTGCTCGCGGGTTCCAGAGTTTGAGGTCTGTCCTTGAGAGACCCCAGGAAGGGTGTCCTCTCAGGCCCCATGTTCCCGCCACCTCCGAACTCCAGTCTGGACGGTGGGGTCCTGCCATGCCGGTGGAGTGGCCACGTGGCCTGCTCCCTGTGGCTCGCGTCCCGCGTGCACTCCTGGCTGGCCCCGGCCCACCGGACTCGAGCTGCAGCTACCCTGGGCTCGGTACCCCAGCGCCAGCTATGCGGCCTCCTTCTCTTGCAGGTCAAGCAGGCTCTGGGCCTAAAAGGCCTATTCCTCCGAGGCCCAAAGCCAGGCTCACTGGACAGTCATGCTGCTGGGCAGCCCCCACCCCGGCCCTCCGTTAGCCAGCGGCTCCTGCGGCGCACGGCCAGTGCTCCAACCAAGAGCCAGAAGCCGGGCCGCAGGGGCTTCCCGGAGCTGGCCCTGGGCACGCAGGACACCGGCTCCGAGGGGGCAGCTGACGACGTGGTACCTCCCAGCCCTGGCCCTGCTCCCGAGGCCTTGGTGTGTGAGGGTCCCAGCGGTAGCAGCCCGCGAGGTAAGGCGTCAGCAGAGAGGAGCCCRGGGCAGGTGCGGCCCCCGTGTGCCCCTGAGGGCCCCGGGCCTGCCGGGATGGCCGCCACATGCATGAAGTGTGTGGTGGGCTCCTGCTCCGGTGTGGACGCTGAGGGCCTGCCGAGGGAGCAGCTGCCCAGCCTGGGGCCTGCTGGAGGGCACACGGCCATCAGCCAACAGCCCCAGGCCCGGGCAGACTTGCTAGGGGGCCCCCACTGCAACCTGGGCCCTCAAGCCACCCCAGGGAGAAGCCACGAGGCCTTCAAGGGCCCCGGGGCCCGGCGGCAGGGTCTAGGCGGCAGCGGCTCCGTGTCCTCRGACTCCAGCAGCCCGGACAGCCTGGGGAGCCCCAAGGTGGCCCCCTGCCAGCCTGAGGGTGCTCACAGGCAGCCGGGGGCCCTGCAGGGAGAGATGAACGCCTTGTTCGTTCAAAAGCTGGAGGAGATCAGGAGTAACTCCCCCATGTTCTCCGTGGGTAAGGCAGCTGCCCCCCGCAGCCTGTGTTTACACCCGGCATGCCTGGGCCATGTCCCCTGCCTTGCTGCCCCTTGCTGTGCTCCTGCATCTCCGCTGGCTTGYCCCGCAGCCCCATCTGCCCCAGCCCTCTCCCTGGAGCAAGAGGCCCTGGCACTTTGGAGGGGCGGGGACCYGGGGAGTTGGAGTCACCAGTGGCCTTACTGAGAGCCTGGAGATGCACGTGGAGGGCTGGGCCTCCGTGGGCCTCAGCCGGGGCTCCCTGGCTGAGCCCAACCCCCTCCTGGGTCCAGGCAGCTTCCAGCCCTYACCTGACCGTCCTCCAGGACGAGGTTCAGAGTCACCCTGCCACAGACCCTCTCGGGTAACCTGTCAGTCAGGGAACAGCCATAGGACAGCATCCAGGTTGTCCCCACGGGCCCTGAATGGTGCTCAGAGCCTTGAAGTGGGGCCTCGGAGTTTGAAAGTGCAGAGGAGCAGGTCCCCTGTGTCCCTGGGGCCCTGGACCTGTGGCTGTCAGATGGCATGGAGCCCTCCAGGTGCACAGCCTTCAGGCAGACAGCTGCTGGCCTGCCCTGGCTCAGTTTGCTGAGCCCCAGCCTCGTGGGAGGGACGTGCACCGAGCCTTCCCCTGCCACCATGCTCCTCCCTCACCTGCCAAGCCTTGCTGTCCGTCTGTCCATCTGCCAGACACACCCCGTGCTGACCACATTCTCCTTTCTGTCCCTGCACCCCGTGCTGCCTCCGTAGTTAGGGACTGAGAGCTGCAGTGCCAGGTAACAGGCCCAGCCCCGYGTGCCCCTTGTTGCCCTGGCCCCAGAAGACCCGTCCTGGCCTGCCAGCCAGACCCCTGTGGACTCTGCACACGAGTGGACACAGGGCMGGGCACCTTGCCCATTGGCCCCCAGCAGCGGTGGGGAGGGGGCACTGGCACTCYGAGCAAGCTGTGTGGGATGTATGCAAATGGGTTGCTGGGGAGGCCCTGGGTGGGGAGCCGGCCCGACTGCCCCTCGGCACAGAGGGTCACGGGACACCATTTCTTGACACGACTTTTCCTCCCTGTCCCTCCCTGTTTCTGTCTCTGTCTCCCTGTCTCTCTCTCCTCTCTGTCACTCTCCTCGCTCCCTCTTCCCCCAGATGCTCACCCCTTCTCTGGGCAGCGGCCAATCTCCCCTCTGTGCAGCCTGGAAACCATTGCCGAGGAGCCGGTCCTGGGCCCTGGCCCCCCACCACAGGCAGCTGGCCCCACCAGCTCCCGCAGGGAAGGGCCCCAGTCCCCTGCGGGGCCTGGAGCCAAAGTGGCCAGCACACCACGGACTGCTCTGGGAGCCTCTGAGCCCCTACAGCTCAGAACCAGGCATGAAGGGGACCGCAAAGAGCCCCCCAGGGAGCCGYGCCATGGTGGTGCCAGCGGGGCATGCCCAGGGTCCCCTGTCAGCCAGAYGCACAGCAAGAGCCACCCCCAAGCCCTGGGTCACCTGCCCATGGTCAGAAGAGCCAAGAGTGAGGGCCAGGTGCTGCTGGAGCCCCTGGGTCCCTGGCGGCCCCTGGCCGGGCCCTCCCCGACCCCAGCCATGCACTCAGACGCCACCAGCAGTGACCGGCTGTGGCAGCRGCTGGAGCCAGGCAGCCACCGTGACAGTGTGTCCTCGTCGTCCAGCATGTCTTCCAGCGACACGGTCATTGACCTCTCCCTGCCAAGCCTGGGCCTGGGCCGCAGCCGTGAGAGCCTCACTGGGGGCCTGCTTGGACGTCTGCCCCCAAGGCCCTGCTCAGCCTCGGCCACTCGCCCTGACCGGCCTCCTGTGACCAAGAGCAAATCGAACCCCAACCTGCGGGCCGTGAGTCAGCGGCCTCCTGTGTCTGACGAGCTGCGACCCCGGCCCCTGGCCCCACGCCCTCCCGGCCTCCACACTCGGTCACCCTGGGGCCCCCTCACCCTGGTGGGCTTGCAGGACTACCCCGAGGCTGCCAAGTCCAAGAGCCTGGGGGACCTGACTGCCGACGACTTTGGCCCCAGCTCTGAGGGGAGCTCCTGCAGCCTGAGCCGCAGCCTGGGCGCCCCGGGCCGGGCTGGGCAGGAGGTGCAGCCGGACGCACTGACGGAGCAGCTGCGCTGGCTTGTGGGCTGCRGGCAGGCTGGGGACATCGCATCACCCACGGCTCTGGGCCCAGGTGGGGAGGGGTCAGTGGGGGGTCCGGGCTTCTTGCGGAGGTCCTCCTCCCGAAGCCAGAGTCGCGTGCGAGCCATTGCCAGCAGGGCCCGCCAGGCCCAGGAGCGGCAACAGCGGATGCGGAGCCTGGGCCAGAGGGGCCCCCCGGAGGAGCGGGGCACCCCCGAAGGCGCCTGCTCCGTGGGCCCCGAAGGCTTCATGGACACACCTGCCCCCTCCAAGGGCGCCCTGGAGCAGGTGTCCAGTGCRGCCGACAGCTTGCTCCTGCTGAGGCTCTGACCTGCTCTGGGCGGCGCCCAGCCCCCACCTGCTGTCAGCTGGGGGCCCGAGGCACTGGCTTTGGTGTCCAGCGTTTGCTCAGGAAATGGAGCAGCCAGGTCCCCCCGCGCTTGCCTGGCRTACCCAGCAGCGTGCCCCTGGGAAGAAGGGGCTGCAGCTGCCCGCCAGGGCCCCAGAAGATGGCCTTAGCTGGCCCTGGCGGGCAGTGTTCTCACTTTGAGCGTGGAGATTTACACTTTTAGAAGTCCATCTATACCACATTAAAGTGACCCGGCCCCTTCCCACCATTCCAGCCAGCTCCCACCTGTGGGGTGTGGTGTGCATCTGCTCTGGCTCTCCAGCTGTGTGCGCCTGTCCCTGGAGCGGCTCCAGGTCTGTCCTGGGCCCACCCTGACTGCACTCGCTGCTCTGTGCAACTGTCCTCTTCCCTGGATATCCAAAGACTCCTTGTAAACTCCCCACCACAACCCCAATAAACGTGTCCACGCCAGTTCTGCGTGGGACCCACCCACTTCCTGGTCTTTCTGGTCTGCTCCTTACACGGCCCCAGCCCAGTCCCAGAAGGCTTAGTGCACGGGCTCCCAGGGTGGGACTAGAAGGCCCAGTCCCTGAGGGAACAGGCCTTGCTCTGGGTGGGGGCCCTGGCCAGAGGCCCCAGCTGAGGAGGCTGTTGTGCCTCTGAGCCTCACAGTGTGTCCCTCCCCTGGAAAGCTGCGGTGCATGGGACTGTGCTGGGGCCTGTCCTCCACCTGCCCCCAGGGGAGATGGATGGGGACAGGAGTCCCAGGGAAGCCGGGCCTCAGTGTCTGCTGTTCCTCGAGACGTCACAGCCTGCTGCTGACCCAGGAAGACCACCTGGCCCCCAACAGGAAAAGCACGGTCTCTGGCTGGGACCCTTGGGAAAGTGGGCACTGGGCACAGGGGCTGCAGTGTCGGCTGGAGACCTCTGAGGCKGGTATCTCTGCCCTGTGTCCCTTTGAGCAGGAGACGTGGCCAGCCACAGGGGCTAGTGCCAACTTCTCCCCAGCTCAGCAAGGCCTGCCACACCCTGCTTCCTCCAGAGCTCCCAGGCCTGGCCAGTCCTTGACCTCCTTGACCCTGGGGGCATCTGCTGTGGGAGCTGAGGTGCCTGGAGGGTGTCCTGTCTGCCYGGGGCCAGGGAGGAGCCTGGCTGAGGAACCTGAGCTCTTCAGATGGAGGACAGGACAGGGCTGGTATGGCCACTGCTGTGCCAGGCTGTTGACCAAGGTCTTACAGTGAGGGGTGGTGGCCACCCGCAGRGAACAGGGCAGGGGGCTAAAGCCTTTCTGCTCAAGATGGGAAGAGTCAGGTGGTCACTGGGCAGGGACTGTCGTTGGCATGCAGGACACTGGCCCAGGACAGCCCTTCCATGCAGAGGACACAGGAGGCCCYGGGTAGAAGGTGTGCTGGAGTGTGTCCACAGCTTGTGCCCCTCAGCCTAAGGCCCTCCAGGCTGCTGTCCACTTCCCCACCTCCTCCCGAGGGCCCAGCCTGGGGAGGTAGGAGACCCGGGAGCCATCAGAAACCCCAAGGAGTCAGTAGCCAGCTTGAGCCAGGCAAWGGGGGCCTCCGCAGAGGGCCATCTCCCCATGTGGATGTGCTTCAGGACCCAGCCGGGCAGAACCCCATGGCTAACAGGGCCAGGCTGTCAGAGGGCAGGAGGCCAGAGGCCAGAGGCCAGAGCTGAGGCCTGGGGAGCGCTGACCTTCGATGGGGTCAGTAAGAGGCTCCAGGCAGCTTGGCCTGGTGACTTAAGACCCTCTGGAGGAGCTGGGAGCAGGCAAGGCCTCTGCCCTGGGGAACCAACTYCAAGATGGGCCTGGATGTCACTCAGGCTGCCCAGTGACACTTGCTGCCCCCTGGTGGCCATCTGTGAGCAGCCAGGTCTGGAGCTGGTCCACAAYCACCTGCACATAGGGCTGGGGGCCAGGGTGGCGTCACTGAGCACTGGAGTCACACAGCAGGTCTGGTGGGGCCCACACTGAGTCCCAGGGCAGAACACAATGGTGGGAACCTGGATGGCCACGGGACACCCCTGGGCAGCAGGCCCTAACCCCAGGCAGGGAAAGGAGGTGGGGCAAGGCTCGAAGACACCTGGCCTGGCCTCAGTTTGGGTGTGCCCGGGCGTCTGCCCTCAGACCCCTCCACACASCTCTGTCTGGGCTCTTCCTGGCCTGGGGTCCCACTGGAGCGTCAGGGGAGGCCGTGAGGGAGGCAGAGCGGCAGTCATRGCCAATGGCAGCCGCTTGCCTTATCCCTGGTGGGGCCCATTTCCCAACCTGGGGGTCTGGCAGAGCGGGCAGTCGCTCAGGTCCAGGAGCGGCCCAGCATGGGAGGCCAGAGCCCAGGGGCCTGCGCCCACCCCCACTGAGCTTCCCTGCTGTCCTGGGCACCCTGCCTGCAGTAGGCTGGGAGGGTCTCTGGCCACATCTGGGCGAGCCCTGCTGAGGGAGGAGCCCCGGCCTTCAGTGCTCCGGATGCCCTGGGCTCAAGGCCACAAAACCCAGAGGGAGCTCYGCTCTGCCCTGGCTCCCGCCGAGAGCCCTCAAGAGCCATAGAGGCCATGGCCTCCTCCTGGCATGCTCTTGAGGCAGGAGGCTGCTCCGCACCTCACACTGTCCACAGTCCCCAAGGGCAGTGGGGTGGGAGGGACAGTGAGTCTGCTCCCTGTGCCAGACAGGAAGAGCGGGGACCAGTGGTGGAAGTCAGAAGCCGTGGGGAGCTCAAGCACTCAGTGCCCAGCACCTTCCCGAATGGAGGAGAGGGGTCAGCTGAGCCCACACCTCTTCCCGCCAGCCCGTGTGCCCAGGCGCTGCACCCCAGCAGGCACATGCGGAGGTATTCATATATTTATATGTGTGTGTGTGTATATATATATATATAAAAGATTATTAACAGTTAAATACATTCCACTTGGAGCGTCTCGAGAGACACACGTGGCAGCGGCTGGCACAGCAGCACAGTGCGGACACTTGGTGGGCACAGGTCCCTGCTGCACTGAGAGCCTCTCCAGAGGGGCCAGGCCAGGCATCTGGCAGAGCCCGGCCTCACTCAGCTGGGACCTCGTACTTGAAGATGACGCTGAAGAGCTGGCCACCCAGGCGCTCGGCCAGCCAGGCGTTCTTGACCACAGCCAGCTTGAGGCTCTCACAGCGCAGCGCTGCATGGTAGTTGGTGTGCACGGCACGGCCCATGCCCTCGATGACCACCAGATCCGCACCCCGCTCCCGAGCCAGCACGGCCAGTCCCTGGTCCAGACGGCTTCAGGGAGGAAGGCACAGCAAGATCAGGCCAGGGCCAGCCGAGGCCTGTGCTGACCACACCCAGGAGTCCCAGGCCTGCTTCCYGCAAAGGCAGCGCCTGGCGAGAGCACTGGGAACCCTGTCCCTACTGACTGGGGTCTGCCCGGTCGCTGCCTCCCCGCCAGTTGCTACTATTCCACTTGGACGCTGCTGCTGCCAGCCACCCTCCTGAGCTTGACCATGAAGACCTCAGTCCTTCCCACCCTTCATGCATCCTTCCTGGCTGGCTCCCAGGGGTGCCTCAGCTCCAGGGCCAGCAGGCACAGGAAGCACTGCACATGTCCAGCCAACCCATAGGGAATATGGGGCGGACGCTCAGCACCTGCCTGAGGTTGCTGAGGCCCAGAAACCAGCATGTTCCTGGGGTTGCCTCAACCTTAAGCCCACTGACCCCAAAAGGTTCCAGGCAAACATGGCTRCCCAGGTCTGCAATTGGGGCAGGGGACAGGCAGTGCTGGCTTCTGCTGCCTTGCAGAGCCTGGCAGGGAGGGAGGGCCACTGGGGTTACCTGAGGTCGAGGCACGGGGAGCTGGAACCCGTCTGYACCAGCAGCAGCCGCTCCTCTTGGAGTGCAGAGCTGTGGGTCACCAGGAGGTCACTGCCCAGTGATGTGGCAGACAGGCACTCCCCTCTGTCTACCTCCCAAGACCCGCCAGACCCGCCCCTTGCCAGCTCAGGGCTGCAGCCGGCACCTACTTACTGGACAACAGGGTCCATGGCTGCAATGCGGTCGGCCACGATGAGGGACTCGCTGTAGGTCACATCGTTCAGGGCGGGGCCGGAGTTGCACGCCAGGATAACCTGTAGGGCCCAGACTCTTTGGTGCCTTGGCCGGGGCCCAGCCTGCAGCCAGCCTGTGATCCTGTGTTCACCCAGGTCTTCCCTGTCCCAGCGCCAAGAGGTCAGCTGCTGAGGAGCCGGGCCCCAGAGTGACCGCACCCGCTCCGTGGCCTCTGGGAAGGAGCAGACGCCCAGCGCAGAGCTGTGCTCCAGTGTGCCCTCGACCCTCCCTGCCTCTGGGTCAGGGTGATGTCATATTTTTCCCCCGTCCAGCACCACAGCTTCCCAGAGGACTGTGGGGCCATCCCTGGGTATGAACAGATGGATCCAAGGCCCTGGGTGGGGCCAATCCACCAGAGGCCCAGGCCCTCCTGGCCTCACTGCACCTACCCCACAAGAGCGAGCGGAGAGGCCCGGGGAAGGGTCCCACCCACACGGCCTCCTCACTCACCTCTGTCCCTCTAAAGAGTAGCTCCCTGACAAAGGGGAAGACTCCCAAAATGATGTCTATTCCACTGTTATCTGCGAAAATTAAGGCACATTTATGAGGGGGCCCCTGCAAGACAAAACCAGGACGTTCAGTTGGGAACAGGCGCATCAGAGCCTTCGACACCACTGCACTCATGCCCCTAGGGCGGGGCCCGGGGCTGGTCCCGGCACATGGCAGGTGCTGGGACAGGCAACCCCAGGGGCCCCGCTTCTTCCAGCACAGCAGGCCCAGAGGACTTTTGTGTTAAGGCCAGCTGACCTGAAAAGTGGTGGCTGCAGGTCAGGCAGGGAGTGGGGACATTTGACATGAGGTTCTTGGCTGCGGGACTGTGAGCTCTAAGAGGCGGGGCTGCGTGCACTGCCTGCGTCCTGGGCTAGCCAGGGCAGCTCCACACCCACCTTCCAGGG